GAGTAGCATTTTAAACAGATGTTTACATATCCAATTCTCATAATATCCAAACTATGTAATATTAAAGATTCCCAGACTACAAAGACCTAAGGGAAGAAATAAAAACTGTGTGACAGGAACAGGATGAAATAAATGCACATCATCTCATCATTCTAGCTGATAGTAGAGTCGTCCAGAAGATGTTTTACATCACAGTACTTCTTTTCAATTACAAAAATATATCCTTTTATCCTGCAAAATGATCTCTTAAACAGTAAACATAAAAGAAACACAATAAACATGAAAGCATATGATAGATAATTGCTTGTCCAGAATGGTTTGTAATAATACATTGAACTTTACAAGTTATCAAGGCACTTTCCTCACCACAAATTTGGAAGGCAAACAATTTAGGTATGATTATCTCCATTTTACAGATGAAGACACAGAGGCTCAGAGGGTTGAAGTGATTTGACCATAGTTATATGGCTAGTATATGGCAGAGCTATAATGTCATTAAGTCCAGAGCTCTTTCCATTTACTTTTGTTTCAAATGGAACTCCAAGCACCCAACTTTCAACTCCTTGAGAAAAGTCCAAAAAATATGTTTATTGCTACATATTTTGTTCCTTTCTTTACTTCTCAACAAATAATTTCCATGCTCAAAAAAATCATGAATAGTTCCCACTGTCTTCACAATCAAATCCTTTAACCTGGCATTCAGGGCTCTCTACATTTAAGTATATCTTGTGAGGAACCATATAAGGAATTGGAACTCTGCAGCTTCAATCTGGATTTGTATATCCCTGTAGGTGATAAAGGTTAAGATAGAATAAGGATAAAAGACCAGGTTCCTTTGTTAATATATCCAGGAAGGAGGGGAAGGGGGTAAATTCAGATAGTGCCCACCATGTGCCAGACACTATGCCAAGCACTTTACTTTTTTTTAATAGTTGAGGAAACTGAGGCAAACAGAGGTTAAGTGACTTGCCCAAGATCATACAGCTAATAAGCATCTAAGGTCACATTTGAACTCAGGTCTTCCTGATTCTAGACCCAGAGCTCTATTCACTGAACCACCTAGCAGCCTCTATTCACACACTCACGTTTCTCAGTAATTAGAGGCATCTAGGAATGAAAAGGACTGCCTTCCAAAGTAGAATCAGAATAACCATAATAGTAACTTACATTAATATGGAACTTTAAGGTTTGCAAGGTGCTTTATATACATTAATTTCATTTGATCCTCACTATAGCCCCTGGGTTTTGTGTTCTCTTAAGTAGAGGTCTTACAGAAACAGTTGGATTACCACTTGTCAGCAAGAGAATTCTTGTTTACATACCAGTTGAAATAAACGGCGGTTTAAGTCTCTTCGCATTCAAAATTTCTATGATTCTGATTCTTTGATATTCACAGAATGTCATTTACATGTACAGATATAGATATATAGATTTAGACATAAGGAGAGAGAGAGACAGAGAGACAGAGACTCTGCCTGCCCCCCCCCCCCCGGTCCAGTGGGTTTTTTGGTTGGTTGTTTTATGTTTCTTTTGTCTAGCTCATACTATCTCTCATAAAAATAAGAGATAGCTAGAGGAATTTATAAGAGGGAGAGGTCACTTAACTGGAGAGATATCACAGAAGAATTAATTTTGGACAAACAGAAAGGAAAGGAGAATGAGGATGGAAAAACACTATATTCTTGGAACCCTGCCCAGGGTTACTGTTAAATCTATCTTTTAGGTCGAGTAGAGAAGATGTCTCAGAAAAACTCCTTATCTTCCACCTCTTCACCACTGGAAAGGAAGCAGTGTCAGACGAAATATCACCTCCTTAGCCTTTCAGTGAAAATCACCTCCAATTCAAACACAGTGAATTGTCCAGCATTCTATTTTAGTTTAGCTCTTGGTTCCATCTCATGGTTCTGAACAAATTTTTTTTTTTGACAGAGATAAAGGTTTGAACGGGGTACATACATGCTTACCAGCCCCCTTGACAATCTAATCTAACCACCACTGGCCAGCTGGTGGAGGGTCCAGCCTCTGGAAGTCAAACAAGGTCAGAGAGAGGGATGAGAAGAGTTGGAGGTGGATAGAAAGTGATGACATGTATCATCCCTATGCATATAGTACAGTATTTGCCCCCACTGAAAGAGGTTACACATGCTGACGAGGATTGTTAATGAAGGCAAAGGACAGTCAAACCCATCTGAGGAGAGACATGGAGATGGAGTCCAAATTGAAGGGATCGAACTTGAAGATTCTTCTGGCCATTGCTCAGGAGAGGAGGGATCTAGCTCAGAAAAGCTGCTATCAGAGCATCTGCTTAAATACCCAATAATCTGCTTTATGGTGGCATCTGACAGGTATGACCCTAGGATTTGGGGCTGGGCAAAAAGAGAAGCCAGCCTGTCCCCAGCACTTTCAGACAGGTCCTATGTACTCCCCACTCCCACTAGTGAAATGGATGAGTCAAGGCCTTCCAGGCTAACAATAGCTTCCTATAAACACATTAATCCCCCATCAGGTGGGGGAGGGGATAGGTTTGCAGCCTGGATGAGCTCTGAAACACAGAAAAGAATGCGCGCGCACGCGCACACACACACACACACACACACACACACACACACACACACACACACCCCTCCTCAAAACACACTCAGAGGTCTCTCTTCTTAAAAGGGCTTGTGCTCAGAGAGAAACAAATCATAGAGGGAAGGAAGAAAATAAACAGAGATAATACTATTCCCAACCCTAAGTCACGTGGCCAAAGAACATCCCTGGGGAGCAAAGGCTTCATGGCAAGTAGGGGAGCCACTGTGGCCTCAGCTGCAAAAGTCATTCGTTTATAAACCTTAATAACCAATTGGTTGGAAAGAGAAGACCCCAGATGGTGACGGGGGTTGATTTCAGACAGGGCCTTCAGTCTCTATAGGCAAGCTAACAGATTCCCCCAGGGACGGGAATGGGGGTGGGAAAGGAGAGAACACATCCTTTCAGGGGAGAGGGGTAGCCCTGCTCTCTTCCCAAAGATTATAGGGCCAGATTCTGCATTCTCAGGATTTCAGAGTCAAAGCCGGCAATGGGAAGTTGCGTCAGCAGCAGCCGAGATCCAAATTCTATAAACCCAGTAGGTAGTCTGGAATGGAGCACACATACACTCGCACAAAAACCCACCCACCAACCCTTGGATTTCCTGCACTCCCTGAGCATGGCCCCTGACAGTAGATGGGATTTTAATATGGTTCAAGCCAGGGCACTGGGGAAGCCCTTAGCTCCCACCCCTGCTAGACCTCATCTATTGCCCCCAGGGAGGTGTCTGGTTCTTCAAGGGCCCTCAGCCAGAAACAGTAAGGATCTAGGGGCTCTGAGGAGAATAGGGTCAGGGTGTGTCATGGATTTCCAAGAGTCAGCAATTTTTTCAGAGGCCTGCACAGCATTCCACTTTCCCGTTCCTTACCATAAGGCATTTATCCTTGCTTCCCACTGCTTCCTAACAGCTAATGGCCAAGAATTTCTCAATGATAGCCTAGAATCCTTCCGCCCAGGAGGCATCTCTAAACCCCCTGCCACCACTCCAAAGACTAATTCTTCTCTTTGCCTCCTCAGTATAGGACATCCAATGATCTCCTATTTGGGTAGCTCGGCTGATGTTAGGGAGAAGGGAACCCTTTTTTAAATTAGTTTAAATAGCCCTAGAAGAAATACTTCTTATTTAGTAAAGAGATCGTACCATAAATGGGGAGAAATATGCCGGATTTCCCCCCATATACTCAGCTGCACAATCTTCTTGTTTTAAGAAAACTAGGGGAAGAACGGGAAGCCCCACACACAGCTAGAGAGACACACGATTCCTCTTTTAGCTGAAGCTTTTAAAGGTGTATAGAGAAAAAAAAAGAAAAGGATTTAGAGTGGAAAGCTAGGGTACCACCTTGACTCTGGACATTGAAAATTTATTCTGAATAAATGGAGGTGCTTAGGGAAATCCTTAAATGAGGACTCTATAAAAGGGGGAGCTATGGGGCTTCCTCCACCTTGCCGTTGTAAATACATGTTATTCTGAGGCTGAAAGAACTGGTGTGTCCCCCACACTGGTGTGTCCACCTCAGAACCTTTTTGATCGTAAAATCTAGCCACTTGCCCTGGTGTCAGACCCTTCAGCCCTCACCCGACTGGGGGACACAGAGCTTGTCACCATTCACTACTCCTCCCTCCCCTTCTTGCATCTCCCTCTCAGTGGAGGTTTCGGGGATTCCCCCAAAAAGAATCAGCCAGAAGAGCCCCCAAGGACAACATGAGGCTAAAATGCTCACAGAGAATGTTTTGGTGGAACAGTATGCTGGGGTTAGGGGGAGAAAAGAGCTGCAATCTCCAGGGACAGGGAAAGGACGAAAGATTTAGGGAAGCCACCTGGAGTGAACAGATCAGGGATGACTGATTGGGTCCGTCCGGCGCCCAAAGCTCTCCATTGGCAGGCCATATGGTGGCCCGCTCCTCGCCCCACCCCCTCCAGAGGGCTCCTGGAGCCAAGGGGACTGAGGGCGCAGGTACCCCAAACCCTCCATTACTACAATGACAGGACAGAGCTGGGGGAAGATGTAACATGGAAGGGCGAACAGGGAATGCATGAGGGGAGTCTTCTGAAATGACAGGTACTCCGGCACACACACTCAGTTACATTGAGCATAGCTCGGGCGGCTGCTTTGGTTGCAAGGAAGACATCAAACGTTCGGCTCCCCCAAACAACCCAACCCAACCCAACACACACACACACACACACACACACACACACACACACACACACACA